GAATTAGTTATGTATATATATGGGACATCCTCCACCACGCTTGCAGTCTCTATTTGCACGGTGTACAGTATGATTATCTATGCCTATATGCACATCAAGTGTAGTGGATGAGCACAGTCACCACAGCTAATATATATATATTTTTCCTATCAATATAGGAAAAATAGGCTTGGCGATAAATAATAATGTCCTCAGTTCAGATATCTTATTGATTAAGGATCGTGCATTAATTAGCAATATCGTGAATAAGTCACGGGATACTACAAACTGGCTTAAGATATCACCATAACCTAACTCTGTTTGTGCGTGAACAACGCAAGAGTTTATGAATGATACGGGGGTCGGACTGCGTGTCTGTACATCGGGGTTAGAGTGCAGTGAGGTGGTCCTAGGTGCCATGGGTCGTACCAGTGATTCGGGACACTTGGAAAATTTACCATTTGTTGCTGGATATAAGGATAGTAGATGTTGGGCCTGGGTTGACGGTTAGAAAGCATAGCATCAAATGGTCTACCCATCCACGTGCTATCCATCATACCGGTGCACACTTTCGTGTTGGTTTTATAACTTAAAGGAAATTGAGAGGGAAGGTGCTTTGGTTGCAAGACTTTGGGGGTTTTGGGGCCTGACTTTCTATAAGGTGGAGCATACTGAAAACCGCCAGATATACTTGTGTTTCGAGAGGAACCTTTCGTTATAGGTGAGAGTTTTTTGACAGTCTTACTTTCAGCAAGCTTATTGATTACAAAGTATTCTTCCCCATCATTAGTCTCAACCCGGAGGCATTTGTTCATTGTGGTGAGGTCACCACGTTTTGGTAAGAAATTCTTAGAACAGCTTGTAGCGGTTCCACCTATTTTAACATCTTTTGGTGAGACGTCATTTACAGGGGTACTGGTATCTAAATCAGTCCCTAGTTCCATTGCCATGCGTGGTTGTTGTGTGGTTTGCTGAATGCTAATGTCAGCATTAGGTGACTATTGCTGTGCACGATCGTTTTTGGGTAATTCTAAGCTAGAGGAGGTGACCGGTTTATTACTACGCATCATTCTGCGCTGACACGGTGTTTTATCTTGAGCTAAGGTTATAGACTTATAACTGCTGTTCAGTCTTAGGTGATTCTGACATTTAGTAGACTTACTAGAATCAAGGGAATTACTGAACTTAAAAATAATGGGACAATTAGTCTGGCTAGACTTTTCACGAAGTCTTTTGCGCTCACGTGGAACACTAGCCATGCCGCAACAAGTCCCTATAGATGGTAGATTTATCCTTAAAGAGCTACCAGTGTCCAGGGCAAACACTACTGTGTAAGCCCCCTATTCACTTTGTTGTTGAGGTATGGTGAACCCCCTACATACCAGACGAAAGGTTCAGTATTGAAAAGGATATGCGCCTCTGTTGGGACGGGAACCACCTTAAAGACTCACGGCGCAACAACTGGCAGATAGTGGGCCGAAAAGCATATATTATACTCTATGAGGCCAGTTGCTATGCACTGATGAAGCCAAATAGACTATCCCATTGCCCTGAAAGCGGGTGAATCCCTCTGCGGTCTCGTAAAGAATCATCCGGTTATCAGTTAATTTATTTGGCGCGGCGCACTCACTCACCTTGGAAGTCCTAATTACTGGAACTAGGAAATTAACGGCTCCAGCCCACCACCTTCGGAGCCGAGGGATCAGTGGCTCTGAGGGAATGTTTCTTACTTCATAGTGTTTCTTCAAATTTGTGTAAATTCGGACAAGATGGTCTTGTAATCTGTGAGATTTTACAATAAGCACTAATAATTTTTGAGGCACTGTTGAAGGCTTACTCGAGATAAAAGTGAAGTGTAGTAACAAGAATTACTTCATGACGATTACTTTGGGCATCGTGAGTGTAGTCAGGCAAGAAGAAGAACTACATATGCTTTCCGCTAAGTTATGTTTTGCCAGAGTAAGATTGCATGTGCTCAGCAAGATCATTCCCAGTGGACTTTTCCGCAATTTAAGATAATTTTGTTATCAAACGCGGCATCAAAATAAACTAGTATTGACCGACAGGGCCTATAAAGTGGAACAAACATTATTTATTGACGAGTAAGTATTTAGTAAGAATTCTGGTGGATAAATGAAGCGGCAAAGCGCAGTAAAACACATCAAAGAGCATTCGTCATTTAGTACCATTCAACAGATAGAAGATTTACAAACAGAAATCGTAGTAACTACTTGGTTACTCGTATCGTACTTCGGAATTTAGTCATTAACAGCCTACTGACTGACCAAAAGGCTTATAGCATACCGTGGGAGGCATAGAGATCATACATGACTACAACCCTGATTCTCGTGTACACCTAGCGCAGATTGTTCATTTAGAGGTGGGGTACTGGAAATACCTTCGGAAAATTGTAAGGCTTGAGTGACTGCGGGATGTTCTCAGTACATTTGTATGACTGGAACTTGGACAGCGAGCTGAAATTTGCAATATGTGTCGATTTAGTCATACGTTTACTATATAATACGGATTGTTTGGCTTTGTTAGTACTACTAGATTTGAACTGCATAGCACAAGCGAATCTAAGTTTCTCAAAGCTGATAGCGTAGGACGCGCTGCAAGCTTAAACACATGTTTTTATCAGGTGGTTAGTTGGTAAACGATTAGGCAGTTGAAAAGAAACGTATTTTGTTCAGCAACCTCAGCTGTTTTAAAGTTTGAGACGCATTTTTCGAAACCAAATTTTCCATCGAAAGGATACACAAATTATCGATCGACTACCTGTAATATTGTAAAAGGCCGATAATGTTCGTGGACCTACATTTCCGAAAGCATGGCAAAGGGCAAGTGTAACAGGCAAAGCAGAAGGCACACAGATAATGAAAACAGAACACAAGCTATATAGTGGATGTTTATTCCACGAGAATCAGTTTTAAAAAGTGCGGAAGTCCAGTCTAAGAATTTTACAGTCTTTCTTGTCTTTGCTGAGGTTTAGATCATGCAATTCTTGACCCAGATAATCGACTCCCGAGTTTCTTTCTGCGAGTAAAGGGAAAAAATTGACTGGTGTTTATTATATAGGTTTTGTTTTCATTACACAGGTGAAGCGCGGTGTGCCTATTCAAACAAACGGAAGGGCATTCACCATCCAATAGGTGAATAAAACTTTAGAAATCATCAAGAAGATATAGTTCCTACTTGGTTGCTCGTCTCATCGTTCTGAGTTCCTCAGTCACTTATAAAATCTGAGTGGCTATATGATACCGCATCGTATAGACATAGAAGCTTTTACTTTGGTATTCCTTTGAAAGTAGTTATGCGTATCCACGTATAGAGAAGCCTTACGTCGATTCATTTGATACACTTATGTAGGAAAATCCGATCGGCATCATTTTTTGGCAGCCTGAAGTCGATTTATTTCACTTTATCAAACGCATGGTGAAATAATCAACTTAGCTAGTTACTTCAAATATGAATCCCGAGTCATACGGCATCATCAAAACCCATTACACCATCTCTAGTTGTGGCCGAATGAAACAAAAGCATGTATCCACCGTCAGATTCTAAGACTAAGACCTATACAGAAAGATTCTATGTACAACTGCAATAGCATCTGAAGTATCCAAGGCTGAACTTCTTATGGGTCATGGTGTGCAATATAGAATGAACAAGTGTGTATCCAGGGTGAAAAAATAAACCTCAAAAATGTCAGTGCATTCTTCACGACAACTTCCTCATCAGGTTCTAAAGTCATATACCAATAGTAGCTAATGAATAATTATTACTGACGGCATTAACTTTTTTACCGGTTATCATCTCACTTGACACATCACCTTTAAATTGTAATCTCATGTGGAGAAAAACATTAATCATAACACAAATAAACACACATTCTAAATAATTTAGTAAAGAAGTATGACCGCGTCGACAATGCTGACATCGTATTCATAGAGCTGAGTAAAGATTATCACGCAACAGACATGATCCAGTGTGTAAAATAAAATAATTGGGAAATCACTGATAACTTAGTTGTTTCCCATTGAATCACTTGCAAGACACCTATTAGATGTTTACTAACTGTCATATGTCACAAGATAATGAACTTCGCTGCATGTAACTGCCTAAGTATTCAAATGGATATCTTGTCACAATCATCACAAATAGGGTGGAAAGATGCAACACTAGCACTCAATACAGATCTTAAGAAACTAAAAGTAATTTGTATTCATACTCAGCAGAAGATGAGTTCTACTTAAATCACATTGCATGAGAAATGATTACGTATACAGAGAGGAAAAGAGAGGAAATAGTGGGTGAGTGGCAGTACTTGAAAATGATGACAAAACTGTTCGGTCAAAAACAAAGTGGGAAACATGGTTCATCATTGAAAAAGAAAAGTCTTCACGTAGTGCTGAGTTGGCTAAAACATGAGCAGTACTAGTAACTTCATTCTCGCAGCCATTCGAATAACAGATACCAAGTCTCAAGGCCTAGCCGAGGGGTAGTCATGAATTACGACTTGAAATAGTGACGTGTCATTGTGTAGCCACACATCACACGTTGAATAGTGTGCAAGACAACTGCTCAGTCAATGAAAACCATGCTCATCACCATATCAATTTGTGAAAATGTTGTTACGTGAATAATTTGTGGTTCGACTGTTTATTACACACATATATTAATCGACCGTTTATTATCCGACGGATGCTCAGGAGAACTAGTACCTTTTCTTAACAGCATTACAGGCGATACTATGAGATATGACTCCTGATGTCACTTATTCCATGAATTTCTTATTAATAAGCTCTAATGACTCAGAGAAGTAGGAATTAATAAATCTCTAAATTTCTCCTGGAAGTCGAATTCTGTGGGAGAGCAAATCTGCAATTTCAGTCTTAAGAGGTCTGAGGAAGCTTATAGGGACACTAGAAGAACTATAAATCATACGTAAAAGCGTTTTTTGATCAACTGGAATGACTTGTATAAATTTTGTTTATATGCACAAATGTAATTAACTTTCACTCATGACTTCGCGTCAAAAATCTACTGAGATGTCATCGGATGTAAGCTAAAAAGTCTTTTCTTTGGTTTTTTCTACTTGAAATCAGTTTACTGATAACTAAAAGACTGATAAAGCTAACGGAACTATTATGGTTAGCATCACACTGTAAAAATTTTGCGATGGTTCTTCAGTAATACTAGTTTATACATTTATATATACTTAAATATTCAGAGATGTCAAGTTCATGCCATTTTCTTCAGATAGCATAGGTTTCGGATTCGTAAGGACAATTAAAATAAAGCAGAACTTCTGCATTATTATATCTGTTCCGACCTCAACGAAACATCATGAAAGTTGAAAATTATAGAATGACACACGAAACTACTGTCTAGATTTTTTCGTCTGTCATTCAAATTGATTTGCATGGGAGCGAATACATGAAACAAATTCTGTCACAAATCACTGAGTACTGATGTTTTTGTGCATTTTTTAGAAGTTGTAATCTACCCATTTATCACTTATTGATTCTACTCATTCTGTCAATAGGTAGCCACTTGGTGTTGCTACTTTTATTTATTAGCTACCTTTCGGTTATCTTAACACCAATTCCACCACACTGAAGGCTTACTTTCAAGTGGAATGAACCTGTAAATTATCTGGCAAGTCTTGTTTGGAAAAACAGTTTAGTTGTTAGGTCTTCAAGATACTTGGTCATATCTAATGATATTGATGATCCACTAAAAGAATGGAATTTATTTAAATTGCTTAAATTACTTTGTGGACGTCTACTTGTTGATCTCACCTAGAAATAACGTTAATTACTGACATGGGGCCACCAACATATCCTGATAGACATATCTTGGGCAAATAACTGGATGGATCCTTAGTGTAATCCGTCCTAACATGGTTATCAGACTGCTGCTAAGTACTGGGGGGATATATTACACCTGTGCATCTTAGTGGAATTATGTTGTGGAGTGGGATATTGAGAAATCCTGACTTTGAAGCATATCTGTTCGTGATAAGCTTCTATTTTTTATTTTCTTGAGAAGTAGGACTGAGTAAGATGATAAAGAAAGATGCATTACTACAGAATTCATCTGTTGCATGAATTTTGTGATTCCTTACAATACTTACACAATAATAAATTTTACAATTCTACTTTTATGTAATGAAAAGGATTCAAAATTTCACGCTGATTTTATTCTACTGTACTAGCTCAAGTTATATAAAAGACTTCACAGCGTACTAGAAATCAGTCTTAGTCTTAAAAATCTCCACGTCTATTTCCTTTTGTGGTTTGATGTGGTCCTTATGTGTTCTGTATTAATTAGAGTGCGTTAGTGGCTTAAAACCAAAATTTTGGGGGGGTGTATTTGCGGGTAGTCGATTTCAAAAGCTTGTTAGTTTTTATTCGCTTATTATAAGGTTGAAAAACGGTACGTTGTCGTTTGTGGTAAACCTCCAACACTGAATCTAATTTAGAGAATATTTACCATGAGGTCGGGCGAAAAGTTCTAGACACTACGAAGCAGCAGTTAGTTCGTTACTGATGCAGTTCTTTACCTAAGTTTTCAGTAGTTAAGTCTTCGTTTTCAAAGACAAGTAGAAAGAGAGCAAATTAAAGCAACTAAACCACTGTCTGTATGTATGCATATGTTGAAGATGGCTGTATGGTCGCTGTCAATAAATGGCAAACACGGATGTCACCTCTAAGCTATTTCAAAAATTCTTGTCATGATAACATCAAAGTGTTTGGAAGAATCTTTCGTTCCTCCTAAATGTGTTCTGTGCTCCTAAATTCTAATTGAATCTATCCACTTGTAATTCTAAAGTATCCTATTCAAATCATGTTTAGGCAGTTTACTTTCACTTATTTCTGTGTTTCAGACTGTGAGCCTCTTCAAAGAGCTCACCCTTAAAGATGCTGAAAAAGCACTGGCGGCTGATCTGGAACTCCTTGTGGGTAGTATACCGGATACTCACCCGTTAGAGAAAGAAAATTTCCGCTCACAAATGGAATCTTTCAAAGAGCTATTTAAAAGATACTTGCATGACACGTCGGGTACATTTGATTGGAAAGAGATTCAACCTGTGCCGACGCAAAGTGTAAGTAAAGTTTCATTTTATTTTTTAATGGTAACTCATCAGATATGAAGCTGAAATTAAAAGTCATAGCTTTGAATATTCGTCAGCCACTTCAGCTTCACGCTTTTAGATTGCGTCTTTCTGTCTCATAAGTGCATTTGTCACACAGAACATTACAAACTATACACGCGACTATTTTTGACTATCTAATCCTGGTATTTGCGGTTCTACAGAATAGAACGTCTAAATGAAAGTTTCATATTACGGTTCACTTAAGTCTTTGTTTTCAGAGTGGGGAACAGCTTAGTGAGATATGTTCATCACTTCACATTTATAAAACGTAACCAGCGTTGACAGACAGGTTAAAAAGATTTTTACATCACAGAAAGATAACCATCTCTAGCTTTACACTTTCAACTATCTCATTAACCAACCTTTAAATAAGTCTTTCAAGTCATAACGCATTGCTGTGACTTCTTGACATTTCGAAAGGCTAAGAATCATCATTTAGGATATTTATAGGACGTTTTTTTTACTAAAAGACGGAATGTGTACTGACCACAAGAGGATTTTCGATTTAAGCAATAGTGTAGACTTAAGAATTTAGCACCAGAAAATGTGAATACTTGAAGTAATGCAAGTAACGGTGACATAATAAACAATTTACTTGTTTGTAAGTTTGAATAAATTTCCACATCGAAAACTGTAGGTTCAAAATTCTCAGTATATGAATTCCCATTTATACATAGATTCAGTGTTTAAACTGATGCTTTTCACATAAGTATATTCCGTGATCTATAAGGTTTCTTAATCAATTAAAGTGATAGAATTGTATCTTATAGGCGGAACTTCCTATGAAGCGATTTTTATCAGTTGGATGTTGCTAAAAGTGTTACCTAATTCACTTTATTCCATAATGTAATGTCACAGTGTTTTTACTTTAAACTATAGATGAAAATGTACAATGCTCTTCCTATGCCAAGTGATAAAGAAGTAATCCGTCAACAGTTGAATAAATTGGTTGTCGTGAAACTGAACGGTGGTCTCGGCACTACAATGGGTTGTACTGGACCAAAATCGCTGATATCTGTTCGAAATGATCTTACATTTTTGGATTTAACTGTACAACAAATTGAGGTAAGATAAAGAAGAAATTTACATTGGCAAATATTTCAAGATATATACATATATATATATATACATATACATAGTGAAATTAAAATACAGCGTTAATATCGCAGCTATTTTGTAGGATCGGCTAGAGCGACATATTGTTTTCCTTGCCTGGAAATAATTAATAGTTATGTAATGATAAAGATGACGGCTAATAAGATTATTTAAAGTTAAACACCAGCAACCAATTAGATTTCACAGACAATTATTCAGAGAATTGTAGTCTGCAAATAGATTTCTGTTCTATGAATATCCAGATTACATTTCACTGAGTAGTATATTAGAGATCATGGATTTTCATCTATTTTATTAACATTAAAAAGTCTGAGTAAATGTTTTTCGGTAGCAGTGGTGTTTATTTTTACGGGGTGGGATTGCTAATCTCACGCCCAGCCTTCCCCCTTTGCCTGGCTTACTACCAGCTAAGTGAGGTATGGGAGTGTGTCGGCAGGGGATCGAACCGCAGACCACTTGAGTGGCGAGCTTCCTTTCTCTGCGCCACCGATGCACTTCAATGCTATAGAGTTACATTTTAAATGACTATGAATAGTAATTCGTATTCGAAGTGTCATTTAATAGATAACACTGCTTTACTGTATAACCATATCTAATGAATGAATAAATAGGAGTTATATAACACTTTATACAGACATTAACTCTTTGTTCTTTCAAAAGAATGGATACTGAATAAAGAATACGCTTTTCGATAACTTCATCACCAGACTCTACAGTTATATATACATTATAGTGAATGAATGAATGAATTAGTGTTATGAACAACATTAATGTTGTTTAAATAACACCGAATCAATAATAATATCAATAGATTACAGTTCAATAGCATCAACATAACAATACACACTGAATGAAGATCAGAAAAATTTGGAAAGATAACAATAATACAAATTCATGAATTTATAGTCCCCATTGAAGGCTGGCCAGGGCAGTAGTAGTGGGTGGCTGGACGTACTTCTTTTGCACACAAAGCACTGGTTGCTTCGCGAGAATTGCGATAGCCTCTGCTGTTTGAAGTATGCGGTACTTCGATGTTTTTGGCAATTTATTTGGCACCCGGTAGATGATGATAGAAAAGGATTCTCCAATGGTGGCTGGCCGGTTTGGACCAGATGGTCTAATATCAAACTGTTGATGGTTTTTACTACATCTTTACTTAGCCATAGTATGAGATGTTCACAAGCACGAAAAGTTAAGCTCCTAGAGCAATGGCCGATGTAACTCGCTCCACTACCAGCGCAGTTGAATTGGTAGATACAATTGGAAGTGGCTAGCTAGTCTAGGTACTTCATCTTTCAGTCGAGGAATCACCATCGGTCGTGTAGAGAATAACACGTGTAGTTCGCCAGCATTAAAATATTTATATATCATATAGAAGTTATGTATTTTATGGGTATTTCTTTCTCAGGGGATATTATTTTACTTGATATTTAGTCATTTATCTGGTTAATTGATATTCTACAGAAGGATTCCTTAAAATATTTTCCCATATTTAAATGGTTCAGAAAAGTGAATAGAGCAGTGAATCGTGTAGAATTATTTGCAAAGTGACTGATTGAGTTTCGACATCGAACTTCGTATAGAAAAGTAGCAGTTCAGGTTGCCACTACTCTGTGTAGCACAAGAAACTAAATACAAGTGAGAAAGAGAAAGAGAGAGAGGGAAAAAGAGATTTAAGAGGATAATAATAATAAACAGAAATTTGAGGGAGGGGGGAGAGAGTAGTAACGTGAAAAAATAACAAGCTTTTAACAGGTAAAGCAGCTCACAAAGGATGAACGCATCTGTAGCACTCAGATCGATTTTGAGCCATATCACCAACAGTCTCCAGCCATCCTGCAGACGCCAACCATTCAATCTGCACCACCCTATATGGTTTACTGTAACCATCTGTCGAGGAGTTAATGGACTGATGCTAGATTTTAATTTAGCTACCCTTAGCTATTTTCCAACCTAATCCTACATCAGAGAATGACGTGGCAAGTATTTGAAGGTTTCTTCTCTAAGTGTTTAGAATACTCTGAAATTCATCAAATTCTTCACCTAGGAGAAAAATGTCATCCACATACTGCAAGTCCCCAAGAGTATTCTCTGTTAACAAGCTAGTTCCTAAGTTGCCAAAGTCAGTTAGGCTTAATTTCACTAGTACATTTATGATAAAAATAAATAAAAATGGACACCGCTGGTTGTCATCACTTCAGATGATAATTCCCCGTAAGTTCATACATGGATGCATGAGTTTCAGCAGTGTGCTTTTTCGAAACTCTCTTCACTGTTAGGCATTGCCACAACACCACCCAGTCGATGAAATTGAATGACACCTTCAGGTGAAGAAATATATCAAGTGTTGGATGCTAGTATGTCGTCTATGTTCCAGAGCCTGTCAAGGGTGAAGATTTGACGCATACCCCCTTCACCCCACCCACTTATGGCTTGAAATCTGTCTAGTCCTCCCGGGTTTGATTTTCCCGAGCACCACTTAGTTTACGCATGAATATTGGACCCAGAACTTCAGATACTGTGTTAGTCAGGCTTATACACCTATGACTATCACAGGAAGATTTGTCGCCCTTCTTTTTTTAAAACTGAGATAATAAATGATGTACACCAGTATAACAGAACTACCTCTGATTACCGGACACTGCCTAATACCTCAGTTAACCCAGACAACAGTTGATCAACAGTAGTGTCCTTAAGCACCTCTGAAGTCATTACATCGGGTTGTGCTGCTTTGACTAATTTCACATGGGAAACAACCTTTATTATCTCAGTTACAAATAGGGGATCGATGTCGACTTCCCATTCGAGTATGTGTAGGATGCTCGGGGGGGGGAATGAGCATGAATGTAGGCAGGTTAAATTGTTTCACAAAAAGTTTCGCCTAGCTTGCCTGCCTTCTATGCTGAGAGTTAACTGAATGAATTCCAGGCTGATTTTAAAGGCTTAAATAACTGGTCAATATTGAAAAATACTTCTCAACAATATTTCTTAAAATCAGTCTTGAATATATCTGTCTGATGTTAGTTTGTTTATTACATATATATCTCACAGTGATGAAACAGTATTATTTACTGGAGTACACAGTTTCGAATACAATTTATTATTGTTCATAATTATGTCATCAATTATAATCACACAACTTCGAAACTTTAGTTTTATAGTCTTCTTTGTTCCCTCCTATTTGTCGTCGTAGGGGTAGTAGAATTTTCTAGATATCTGTCTGGGACAGGTGTTGAATCATTCATATTACACGTATTTGCAGTTGATTCGATAAATAAAGCTTCCATTATCAATCTCTCCCTACACCCTGGTGTTAGATTAGATTTCCCATCTTATTGTGTGGTTGTGTGTAAGTGCATCTAGTACAATAGCTGCGGAGCTATTCTCCTGATCTCTTATCTGGTTCAGGTCAACTAATCTAGATTTTGCTAGGTTTTTATGCTCGGCTAGTCTGACTCACTGACCCTATTCTACTAGTTTGACCCATGTATTTGACCTGACAATCATTGCAGGAGGGGTATTGGATAAACTCAATTGTTTTGTATTAAAGGCTCCACATGCAGGATCCTTTAACCGACAAAGCTTATTTCTTAGTGAGTTTGTGCGTGACTGAACGCCAGCCACTTTCCTGTAGTGTTAAGAATTCTGCGTGAGGTTTCCGAGGTTCATTCCTTGCATTGAAATACTACTGATGATTTAGATTCCTTTTTGTTGGTGTTGTCATTATCTTGCGCATATTCAGCAGGCATGTCGTCATTACTATTATTATTGTCACTATAACTACTATCATTATTTATTTTATCGTTACATTTCCCTACATACTTCCTCGTTAATTTATCAAGGTAATTGTTAAGTTTCAAAGCTTCTCTTTTATGCATTACTTCCTGTCTTAAATTCTCCTTGGTACTACTTAGTTTTTGTGCCCTATTTCTTAGATATTTCACCAATTCTATTTTTAACTGACATAGGATGAGATGATCGGAAATCCAAATATCTGTTTGAATGTGTGGGTTTCCTGTAAGCACTAGTGTTTGTTATTTTATTCCTTATATGTGGTGAACTCGAACTAATTCGGTACAATGAAATCCATACTATAATCTATTCATAAAACATTGGAGTTATAATTTCATCTTTTATTTATTTTAGAGACTAAATAATGAATACGGTACAAGTATCCCTTTGGTTTTAATGAATTCTTTCAATACTCATGCTGAAACTGAAAAAGTTTTACGCAAATATCAACAAGTCAATGTTCGAATATCAACATTTTTACAAAGCTCGTAAGTGCTAATATCTCATAACTGTACCAATACTAGAGCAGTTGTGTTCACATTCATTCGTAATCTTTTTGGTGTGAAAAGCTTGTCCCAGTTTCATAAGTTACATTTAGATTATTCATAATTTAATTGGTGGATGGTGACTAACAGTGGAATCCGGGATGCGCATTTCGTCAGCTGGATGTACCTGCATTGCCACTGAATGATGATGTTCCTGCCAAAGCTCAACATGTCAACCTGAGACCGAGCACTTCGGTCCAATCAATCGACAGGAAAATATAAAATTCAATAAGATTATTCATAAGGTTTGAAAAAACAAACAACTGATGACTGCCGGATGGAGTCACTTTGGACTTATCAATAAATCTCATTCTATCAGATTTTTTCCTTGTAGAACTTGAAAATGTGACATAGAAAGATATCATCACTGAGTTGCATATGTATAATACGGTTATGCTGACGATACATTTATCATAATTAATAAGTATGCGAATTCAAATGAATTATTGATGAGATTTAAGAACATCCACCGTTCCTTTACTTTCAGTAGTGAAGAGCAACAGAAAGAATACTCTGCATTTTTTAGTTGTCCTAATAAGCAGGCTAGAAGATAGGAGAAGCATGTGTGGGAAAAATGGATTCAAAAGGAAATACACGCAATAATCCCCGGTTATATCTCCAATAAATCAAATGTTTTGTGAAAACAATTCGAAAGATTTACTTTGAAGATCATTTACAAAGAGAATTTGAATATATATGTTCATGGTTCCTTGATGTAGATGGAATATCCTGATAGTTTCATGTAGAAATATGAATAAACAACACAGAAAACCCAGGGTAATGATAGTCTGTAAGAAACCGTCACTTAGGAAATTTCAACTTGATGGGGATCTATTAGGTGAGATTTTTTCTTAGAAGAGTGTCCGCTAGACACCACATTAGCTGCTAGGTTAGATCTTGTTCGCTCAATCCTAATCATTCTGAATTACATGGGTATACTGTAGATTGATGAATATATCACGACAGGTGCACGGTGATGGTGAGCTACCTAGAGTGGTGGCCACATTGCAAACCTGACTGACAGAATTCAGTCTGCACCAAAAAAGGACTAGACACGTCACACTATTTACTAGTGTCCAGTCAAAATACCCACTACAGTCCTACAGGAGGTCAATCGCGAACCTGAATAGCTAAGTGGTAACATCGCTAAATGTAGCACTGGGTTACGCGGGTTCGAAACTCAGAGGGGACATAAGTTCTTTCGAGGCTGCAGATACGCCTTGCTGACAAGTGCCAACTAGTACGAAACCTAGGTCGAGCAAGGCTTCCTGTGGCCGATTGCCTCCAACTATCTAATATCATCAAAAATAACTTCCACAAAGAAATTAGCCATATGAAGGCTGGATATTTCCATAATTCTCTTTTTTATTTCTTTTGTTTTTTTTTCACCATGTAGTTATCCCCGGTTAAATCGAGAGTCTTTACTTCCTCTGGCTAAATGCGCTCATAAACCAGAGAGTGGAAGTTGTGAAACAAGACGACAAACAGACATGAATTATCATCCTGAAGAATGGTATCCACCTGGACACGGTGATTTCTATCGTAGTTTTGTTGCATGTGGTTTAGCTGAAAAAATGATAAATGATGGTAAAGAATGGGTTTTTCTCTCCAATATTGATAATCTTGGAGCAACTGTTGATTTGAGTATCCTTTTATTTTGTTAACAAATCAATAATAATAAAGCTTAAATGATTTTTTGTCGAGGATTAAATGTTATTTAAGCTTAGTTGGATTACCATTATCTCTGTAGTTATCAGTAACATACAATCTTGCATAATTTTGGATTAGTTATGTTCTCTGAGCAGCTGGTTGATTTAATTGCGAAGCTCTAATCGTTGTCCGATTAGAGTTGTGCGTCGGTGGCACAGCGGTTAGGTCCCTTACCGATCATGCAGATGACCCGGGGTTCCATCCACGGCTGACGCACTCCTTTACCAGGCTAAGCCAGTAGTGAGACTGGTAAAGAGGGAAGATTGGGTATGGGGCTAACAACCCCATCCCGTAAAAATTAATACCACTGTTACGGAAACTTCAAACTTTCTATTCTGCCTACAAAAATTATGCCTGAAAGAAGAGATCCACGGAATCGTTAGAAAGTTGCAGCATATCAGATGTGGAATTGAGCAATTCAAAGAAAAGTTAAAGGGAATAGTTACAAATGTAGATTATGATCTGATAGCACAGTCCTCCAGCAATGCAAAATCAGCAACTTTCAAAAAGTTAAAAAATAGCCAAATCAAAAAGTTCAACAAATTATTAGAGGAGAAATCTTCATCTCAGAACGATGAAGTCAACAATCCAAAGCCAACAAAGTGGGTTATCAATCTGTCAACACATATATTAAGTCCTACAGAAATAAGTGTATTAGAAAAGGGACTAAATTTCATTGTAGCGGTAGTCAAGCTGAAACCTGAGGATGTCATCCCTTAAATAGAAATGGCACTTAGTGGGATAGACAAAACAACGGTTAACCAAGTACGGTCACAATCTGGACTAACATTAAAACGACAAAAATGTGGAAAGCCTAACCTGACAAAACCAGAAATAGAAGCCCTGAAACACCTTAAGAATAGCAAGGATATAGTAATCACAAAGTCAGACAAAGGAAATGCAACAGTAGTATTACACAAATCAGATTATTTGGAAAAGGAAACTTCAAGCCTGTAGCTTGAAGCCTTATGTTCCACTGGGAACGTAAAAGAATTTTTTTTTTTAAATCGTTGTCCTTTTAGACACCATCTTCAGCGCCGATTTTAATATGGAATGAACTCATTTGAATTCTGCATTAATCATCCATCTGACCTACAAATCTTCTTCATTATTTCAACCTTGAATAACTTTACAGGCTTTTTGAATAGAAGAAAAGTTATCTGAAGTCGTAATCCTATTCTGTTTTGTTTTAAACATGAAAATGAGACGACTGATTTAATTTAGCTTCAGAAGAGCATCAAAGGAGTAAGTAAGTAAGTCAGTAAGTTTCAGCGTGTATTTTGTTAATTAGGCAACTACTATTCACCTCTATAATCTTCAAAGTGCCAAATTTTAACAGATTTCTTTTATATAGTGTGTATACTTTTGAAACTGTTTTCCTTAACAGTGACTTTTTTTCAAGATATTTTAAATTTCTTGATGAATAAAGAACTACACCGTGGTGGAGATTCTCCTGAGTTTGTAATGGAAGTTACTGATAAAACGCGAGCTGATGTTAAAGGTGGTACTTTAACTAAATATCGTGGACATTTGCGCCTTCTTGAATTAGCTCAGGTATTTACATTTGCGTCTTATTTTATATTAGATGATAATCATTAATTTTTAAAACAAATGAAATAATTTCATGTATTTAATTTAATTTTAGGTACCAGAGGATCATGTTGATGATTTCGCTAGTGTTCGTACTTTTAAAATATTTAATACTAACAATCTATGGATTGATTTAAGAGCTCTTCATCGATGTGTGAAAGACAAGACACTTCATATGGAAATCATAGTAAATCCGAAGACTTTGGATTCAGGGACAAATATATTACAGTTGGAAGAGGCAGCTGGGGCAGCAATCAAGTCATTCAATGGTGCCTTTGGTAAGAATGAGCATATCACAATTGTCATAATTAATGTCGGTTTTTTGGGTTTCGGTGGTTCAGTGGTGGAATGCCCACCAACCACGCATGTGGTCCAGAGTTCAGTCCTTAGCCGACACACTCCTAAACCTCGCTAAGCCGGCAGTAAAGCAGGTAAACAGGGAAGGTTGGGCGTGAGGCTAGCAATCTCACCCTGCAAAAATAGAAACCCACGGCTACCACCGCAACTTCAAAGCCTTTTGTTCCACTAGGGACGTAAAGCCATAAAACAATGAATAGTAATGTCGTTTTTTGTTATTTGTTGGAGGATTTCATCCTGAGCTGACATTAGTTAGAGGACCATATGAAAAACTGGGAGTACTGAACAACTATTTCGTCCTTGTTCGGGACTCTTCATCAGCACGCACCTACCATCGGGGTTCAAACCCACGACCTTCTAGTTACGAGAAGAGCTCGTAGGCTATTAAGCCACTGGGAGCCGACCCAATGGCGAGACCGTGAATTCTATCTTCTGCCGATTCATGACATAGCACGACCACTTCACAATGTCTTCTTCGATTAGTTACTGCCTCACCTTCGATCCGCTGTACCCTACTGGTCACGGCTTCACACTAGAACCCCGGGTCACTGCTTGAATAGGGGCAGTCGCTAGTGAGCATCACATTAATTTTCAAGTATCGGTTTTTTAGGGATTTTGTTTGTTTGGTAGATTTCATCCTGAGCTGACATTAGTTAGAAAACCAGCTGGGATTACTGCCAGACATCTGTTTCGTCCTAGTTTGGGACTCTTCGGTAGTACGCACCCATCGCCAGAGTTCTAACCCAGGACCTTTTGTTTACAAGGCGAGCTTGTAGACCAGCTCATGATGAAATCCTCTAACCAATCAAACAAACAAAATCCCTACAAAAGCACTACTTGAAAATATCGATTTTTGCTAATAAGTCGTATTTATATCATGTTTTCACCAGTTAAGTTAATTAGTCTTCAGTTACGAATTACTAATTGGTCATTTCAATGAGAAGTCTATAAAATTACCTGTGAACAGAAGAGGAAGGCAGGTTATACCGAGTTATTTGTAGATTTGATATACTATGATTAACTGATTACAGTCTATAAGATGATGTATAACTAAAAAGACTAACTAACTAACTAAAAATTGCAGTAGAGGCATGCGCTCATTTATCTTTTCAGACTGTTTGAACCTATTATTATTATTATCACCATCATCGTGCGTTCGATCTTGTTCACGTCCTACATTTCTGTCATTCTTTCTTGTTATCAAGTATAAGAGTCTGAATGGATGTATGAACCTTGTTACTGTTGTGTTTAAAAAAGCCTGCATAGGTTTGTGTTTAAGGGTATTTTTGTGACTACACCTTAGAAACAATCAGTTATTTTGCAAATGAAACAGTATTAATAATAAAGTGGTTAGTTTAGCGTCTCTACACTATTTTGAGCAATAGACATAACAGAAAAATAAAAATAGCTGAAACCTCTAATGAGGTATAAGGTAGTGATAACATCGAATGTGAGAAGATCGTGAATTTTCTCATCAGTACTTCGCCATCCTTTCTTACATTGAATATAATTATTCATTTATTTATTTTCTTCTATAGGTGTAAATGTTCCACGAAGTCGTTTCCTTCCGGTTAAAACTACTTCAGATTTATTGCTAGTTATGTCTAATTTGTATGTCCTCGAAGGTGGAACTTTATCAGTATCACCGTTACGCAGTTTCCCGTCTGTGCCTTTAATAAAACTTGGTAGTCATTTCAAAAAAGTGAAAGATTTTTTGACCAGATTTGGAAGTATACCAGATTTACTGGAATTGGATCATTTGACTGTAACAGGCGATGTATATTTTGGCAAAGGAATTGTGTTGAAGGTAAACCAGACGATAATTCTATTTTGATTATTATGCTTCTTATTGATGGAAGTAGTTTTAATTTTCTCTTAAAACACATTTGACTAAGAGTTATCGACACTTATGAGTGCTACTGTATGGATCAGAGACTTGGCGCGTCATGAAGAGCACATCAAACAAACAGTCTTCGTTCAACATCAGATGGCCGGCCAGGAAAGATCAGCCACAGGGATCTCTGGCAATGAACGAACCAACCCAGGAGGAACTGATTATGCAACAAATATGGAGGTGGGTTGGCCATTCTTTGAGGAAACCATCAAGTGACATCACTAGACAAGCCCTCGAGTGGAACCCGAAAGAGAAGTGGCGAGTTGGTCATCAGTGCGAGGGTGGAGTGACATGGAGCAGGTTATGTGAAGAGGAGATAGGTAGAAACGTTGGCAGAGAACCGAACGCAATGGGGACGTACGGCTGAAGCCCTATGTTCCTCTAGGAATTAATAATAATAATAATGAGATTCGTAGGCTGATGGTATAAGGCATATTATTAGGCCTTTCAAATGCATTGGATTAGGAATGAACTAGAATTTTGATTGGTTTATGCGAATAGCTTAGCAGTATGCTCTACACCATAAGGCATTTTTGTGTCAGTATGCATGGACTGGTTAGGTGAAAACTTCATCAATAAAAATGACATCCAGGCAAATTCTATTCAGCTAAATAAAAAAAAGGTTAACATGAAAAATCAATTCACTGTGTACAGGTCAATTTAGATATTGTGATTACGCCAGGAGGAAGTATAGGGAACAAACAGATGGGCGGAGTGACCAAGTGGCCTAAGGCAACACACTCTAATAAGGTATTGACGTCAATCCTTTGTCTATATAGGGTGGTGGTAGTAGTGGAAGTGTTTTACCATAAAAGTAGAGTGTTAGATTTGTGACTGACTGACTCACGCACTCACTCATGGAGGAGGCGATTTGCACAAAAAAAGTGCAGCACTCCAAAATTATCACACTTGGTAACAATAATCGCAGAATTCTGAAAATTGTGTTTACACACAATACACAGAATTTTCTTATTGCAAGGTACTCACTCCTTGAGCAAAATCTTCTTGTCATATAAAAAAACGATGACATATCAACTGAAGCGACATTGTTTTATCCAGTAATCCACAATGTTTCTCTTCTATTTTTGTCAGAAAATTCGTAACAGTAGGTTGAGAACTATTCGAAAATGTGTTTGAGCATATATTGCGAGTTTTCGACATAATTTTACGATTAAAACACTATGAAATGGAGTAAACACGATGCATTTAGGTGGACAGGAAATTTAGACAGCCTAGTGATTTAAGCAGACCACATAAAAGTGAAGTAAAGGAGTGTAGCGTAACTACTACAGTGCCTTAAGATTCACAGGAGAAAAGATAAGTAGATCAAGATGACATTCAAATTGTGGAAGATGAGAAGTAATCAACACTGTGAACGACTTTGATTTAGTATTTCAAGGACTTAAAATAGACAGTCTGTACTTCCCCAAATGGCTCAAACTAACAGCTAAAGACTTCGTACAGTGTTGTTATTTCATCGTTTAACAACGCTTAACTTGTTTCCAATCTAGTCCTACTTCAGCTAACGCTGGTCATCGAGAAAACAGAAGACTAGTTATGCCTAAAATATGTCCTAGTCATCTTAATCGATGAAGTATCCCAAAGTTATCGATTGACTTACTTCATTATTACTGAGCATACTGCTGCATTTGAGACATCGAACGGCAGGCCATCTCTCTCTCGAGTGGAACCTGAATGAGAAACGACAAGTTACGCTTGTGACCGAGGGTGACATGGAAAACTATAGCCAATCTTACGGCCAGCTATAGAGGACTGTTGAAGCCTTATGTTCCACTCGGACGGAACCCAGAGTGTTACTCAACAGCTATCAGGTTTGTAATCAATCAGTACTCCTACTTGATAAAGTCACCTGTGGCTTTAAGGCGTTAACACCTATATTGATTTTATTGTGGAATTTTTATTAAAAGCTTTCAAATGGTAGAAAGTATTTGGTGTGGTTGTGTTCTCTGAGCTGGATGGTTTGGTTGCGAAGCTTTCATTGCTCTACTGAGCAACATCTTCAGCGCATACTTCGATGTGAAGTGAGCTTTTAGAATTCTCTATGAGTTTATTAGTCATCTCTTCTAGTAACCTTGAACGTGATTGGTTGTTTTCGTGTGACTTCTCACTTTGTAGTTCACTTGTTTTGGTGTTGACTGTTTCCTTGACCTGGAGTTTGACTTTGTTTTTGTGTGAATTTCTTCGTATGGATTGGTATATTTTGTCAATCTCTATGTGTCTATTGATTGCTGATTCATTTGAATACCAGGCCTCTAGGAATTCTCTGGCATTTTTGCAGTTCCCTTTATCTAAGATTTGAACATTATCCCAGTCGAATTGGTGCCCGTGGTTGTCTGCATGTAGTGATATGAGGGAGTTTATGTCGTGTCTTTTGACAGCTAGTTTGTGTTCGTGAATGCGAAGACGAAGAGGGCGTCCACTTTGACCAAGGTCAAGGAAACAGTCAACACCAAAACAAGTGAACTAGAAAGTGAGAAGTCACACAAAAACAACCAATCACGTTCAAGGTTAGCAGAAGGAATGACTAACGACATTCAGACCAAAGAAGCAGCCAGCACCGAGACAAGCAAACTAGGGGGTGAAATGTCACACGAAAACAACCAATCACGTTCAAGGTTACTAGAAGAGATGACTAATAAACTCATAGGGAATTCTAAAAGCTCACTTCACATCGAAGTATGCGCTGAAGATGTTGCTCAGTAGAGCAATGAAAGCTTCGCAACCAAACCATCCAGCTCAGAGAACACAACCACACCAAAATCATCCACCTGAGCTACAAATCTTCTCTATTATATCTAAATCATACGAGCGGTAGAAAGTATGTTGTGATTCTTAAACTTATTGTAATTTAGTTCCTAAAATGGATGTTTAATTTCTTTTTATGCTAGATTAGTTTATCAGATAACAGGGATGTTTGTTCGACAGTAAGCATTTTACTTCACACAATTACAATCCCCTTCCCATTTCAACTAATACTAATATATATACATATTGTCTGTTGTATTTCAGGGGACAGTTATTATAATCGCCAATTTCGGTAGTCTCATCAGTATACCACCAGGTTCAATATTAGAAAATAAAATTGTTTCAGGAAATTTACGTATTCTGGATCACTAGTGATGATGAGTGAGCCCCGTCCCGTTCCGTCCTCCCAACCCCCGAATAGCACTACACCCTGTGACAACTAGTCATGTTATGCATAAGTTGATGTTTTAGTCGTCATTAACAGTAACTTAATTTAATTTTTGATAATTTATTCTCAAGGATAATAGTTAATTTGTTATTAATATTATTATTATTATTACTACTTTGTTTGCTTATTATTGGTTATTTGTAATCATTTGTTTATATATTATTTATCTTCCTCATTTTGAACTTGATATATATTTTTTCATTTACTAAATCATGACATTGTACTCCTTAAACCCTTCCCTTTCATACTGATTCAGGCATGTAATAATATACACTTTTGTATTTCTTTCAAAATATATTTGTAGTTTGTACTATTTATTGTCTTAGTACCCGCATTATTCTTTCCAATTTCAAAATAAACAACAGAGTTCAATTACGATATTTTTTCAAACCCATTGCGTTTTGTGTAGAACATAGGGGCTTGAAGCTTTGAAGTTACAATAGCGGTGAAAGTGTATTGGGGTGATCAGTAGTCTCTAGCCTCTCGTCCCCTTGTTTTCGGACTTACGATTGGCCAGGCGCGATCGATGAAATGCCTGTCGACCAAGAACTGAACCCTGACCTCCCACAAACATTCAATCACTAAACTACCAACGCATCCAAAAATCTACCCGGGGGTCGAACCTATAACTTTATGGTGATTCACACTGACTTAAACCACTACCGTTTAGATGTAGACAGTACCAATCTGCATGAAATGCTGTGATTTCAATTTTGATTAAAATTGTTATTATTATTAGGGTTTGAAAATACTGATCGTCTTAAATTATGTAACCTTACTGAGTACAACTCTGTTTTACCACACTGTCACCTTTACAACTAAATTTACTGAAATGGCTGTCAGAAGAGAAGAAGAAAAATATAAAAAAATTCACTCTGACCAGTGAAGTAGATAAAATTAACTGGGAAAAAAAAATAGACGATCAGAATTTATTTTATTGGAATGCTTCACACCTCATATGAATTTATACAAAAGGTCAATGTAGTCCCCCATCAGAAAAATTTAGAAATCAGATAGAAAAGAAAGTAAACACACAAACAAACATACAAACAAACTGACAAGCTAATTCAATTTGGATTTTGTGATTGATTTTGTTTTCGACGTCATTGTGGTTGGAGTCGTCGTCGTCGCTGTCTTCGCACAGTTGACTTTAGCCATATCACCGCAAACATTTATAAGACACTGAGCTTGATTTCTTGATGTTGGCCGAAGAATAACTACTTCACTTAAATGATAAGATAGTAGGGCATTACCGCCTAGGCTAGTAGTATGTGCTCCGACAACAGCTTGTACTTCAGACAGACTTGTATGCAAAAAACCAGATATACCGCCAACCTGATATCAAAATTAGAGGAAATAGAACAAAAAAGTTAACACTGAAAAATTGACAGATTTTTGAAAATGCATATATGTACATAAGAAGCACTTGTTAGGTTACATAGAATTGAGGAAACCTTAAGGCATCTAATCTTTGAGCATGTTAGCACACTATTTGGTATTATTATCATATTTTCTCTGTGCTTTCAAGTTCCTGTAGTGGTTGGATTGAATTTTTCTGGGTAGGGTGGCTAGCTTCATTTGCCCAACCTTTTCCCCCTTTTTCAAATTTGATCATAGATTGTTATCAGCCCTACAGTACTGGATGGCTGCTTCGCCCTGGCTTCAGACTCATCGGCACTACGCACCCACCGGGTTTCGAAACCACGACCTTCCGGTTACACGGTAGGCTAGAAGACCACCAATCAGCTACTGGCACCTGACTCAATGGTCGAATTCGCTGTTTTTGCGTCACCACCGGCCAGTGTTATTGGCAAGCATTTGTCCTCACTCCCGACCAGGTGGACTCTAATGGTCATAACTTCTCACTAGAACTCCAGGCACCTTCGTCTTATAGCCAGTCACTAGAACTCCCTGTTTTCTTAAGCTTAGCGCCAGCTGCTATTACTAGGCAAGGTTCCCCTATTTGGTATGTAGATTTAAATATATAATGTTGAATACTATATTAAATAGAGGTTTGTTTGTCTGTCTGTTTTTGACATAGAACTCTGCACCGATGTGCAGCAGCTCAAGTCGCCACACTACCTTCATGTAGCACACAAAATAGGAGAAGAAAGTAGAAGAAATGCATAATAGAGGCAGTAGACAGGGATATGAGATCAAAGGATAGTAGTAACGAAGAACAATATAGTTTCATCGGGTATTATAAGTCACAAGGAGTGGATGCATGTGCACCAGCCATTGAGGACGATTTTGAGGCATTGCCGATTGTTTCCAACCTTCATTGGTTCTTCCCATTCTAAGGACCCCCACCTTCTTACGTGACTCAAACTAACTGTAGTGGATTTCATTGACTGGTGAAGCCGTGCTTTGGTTTGACCACAACGTGCTAGCTCTTTTCCAGCCTGACCCTATGCCAGTTTTCGAGGAAGACGATGACTAGGTATATGTAACACATGACCTAACCATCTCAGTCGATGTAGCTTCACAGTCTTGTCGATTGATTTCCCCTCCTTACCTAGCACTCGACCGAAGCCTAACCTCAGGATTGCTTACCACTTCACACGGGAGGTAGAACGCAGGCACCTATGATCAAAAACAGCTAGCCAGCCAGTTCATGTCTTCCACTCTCAATGGCCAGGTCCCACAGCCAGCCATAAAGGAGGATGCAGCGGACTGTTCGATAATAAGTACATCGTTTAGTATCACCGATTAGTGTATAGGTTCCGTTTTAAGGTGAATAATTCAACAGAATCTGGTTTTACTCCAAATATATGTGCATCTTATAGATAAAAAATTTTCCAAAGGTTTAGAGGGAATTAGTTTTTAGAAAATATTCAGTCTACAGTTCCTCAAACGGTTATAAGACTATCCTGTTCGAATTAAGAAAAAAGCTCTTTTTATGTGATATCGAGCGGCAGGCCATCCAATGGGAAATGACCAATTGGTTATCCGAGGATGACGTAAAGTAGATCATTTAAGAACGACAGCTAAAGAGAACTACAGACAACAGGATAACGCGGAGATGTTCCACCAGGAACCCAAGGGAATAATAATAATAATAATAATAGCATAATCATAATTTTGGTGCAATTCACACTGATGTTAATTAAAAAAATTTAATTTAATGCATAAATAAAAGTGTGAGTTGTTGTGTGTGAGTACAACAAAGCTTACTTCTCGTAAATCTGTAGTTTCTCGAATAAAAAAGAAGTCTAAATTGCCAAGGTATGCTTCAACACACATATTGGGTAGTGAAGACAATGGTGTAAGTATGCAGCCAGTTATTGATTTGTTATTATGTACTTGTTGTTGCTGCTGTTGCTGTTGTTTCGATTGTCGTTCTTGTCCTTGATTTATAGGCTCATCCTTATGAGTCATTCTATCTGTGAAAGCCTAAAGTAGAAAAAACAATGACAAATGAAAGAGAGAGAGAGAAAACACACATACAACTTAAACAAGAAACAAAGAAAGAATCGATGAGAATGTCAGTAATGTTGTTTTATTTAGAAATGATGAATAGCTTTCTTTCATATATGTATGTATGCATGTGTATAACAAGCCAATTTTAATTATTGAGACAGAAAATCTAAGTCAGCCGCCTATAGCGAAACACTGAAACATAAATGGAACACTCTTACAGCCTCTTCATACCGACCAAGTTGGTCAATCACAGTATAAAGGATACTTTTGGATTTGTTTTGAAAGGATAAAAGATTTAAATGTTGACAATAAATTCATGATATCATTTGTTGACGACGTATCTTCCTTATTCACCGATTTGTGTATCACTTGTGGAAACAGTGGACTTTGTATGCGAAGAACTCAAAAGACGAAACATCGATGTTGGCATTCCTATATGTTTTCTGATTATGAAAGAGCTTCTCTTGAAGTGCACAATGAATGTCCACTTTTTATTTAATAAAGAACTATATAGACAAATCGATGGTGTGGCAATGGGGTCACCACTAGGACCCATTCTAGCCGACATTTTCTTTGCAAAACTAGAAAATGGGCCTTTGAAGGATGTTATTAATGAACTTGAATTCCATTGTCGGTAGATGGATGATATATTTTTGATTATGAGAAATGAGAAGGAAGCAAAGAACAGCCTGGATAAATTTAACGAGGTTCATCCTGCAATAAATTTTACAATTCAGAAAGAAAAAGACTCTAGTATTTCATTTCTAGACGTCCTTATGACCAGAAAAGAGGACGGCACAATGAGAACAAGTGTTTATAGAAAATCTACATCAACGGGCCAGTACACACATTTTCTGAGCTTTGTGCCCTTGAAATACAAACGCAATCTAATAAAGTGCTTGGTCCACAGAGCAAGAGAGATTTGCTCAGACGAATGTCTTGACGAGGAACTTAACAATATTAAACGGTTGCTAAGTGAGAATGGTTATCCTGAAAAGTTTATTGATAAGAATCTGAAATCAAAGCAGCCCAAGGTACCAACAGTTCCAAAAAAGGCCTTATTCTTACAGATGCAGTTCCTAGGAGACAACACCAGTGAGATACTAACCAAGCGCCTTAGAAATGCGGTTAAAAGAACATTCCCTGCTGCTGAATTAAGCTGTATCTTTAAAACCACTCCTCTTCTGCGTTCGGGAATAAAAGACAAACTGCCATGTGTATATACCAATTTAACTGCTCCTGTGGAGCCAGTTACATAGGCCCTACAATTAGGCGTGTTTCTCGTCGTATTTCCGAACATCACCCTGCATGGTTGGTTAAGTAAAGGACAAACAAAATCTATTTGTAGCGCTATTCTATCTCATCTTGTGGATACAGAAGACAACACTGATGTTAATGAGGCCTCTTTCACAGTCATTTACTGCATAACAACAAATCTCAATTTCGCCTTAAGAGTTCGACTACTAAATATTGCTGAGGCTGTTAGGATCCACATTAAGAAGCT